ACTTTAAAATTAGTCAGCACAGTAAGTGAAAGCCTGATTCTACCACCCTGATTGCAAAGTTACTTTGCTAACCAAGTAAGGTTAGCACCATTGTGTACATCATGCAAATTGAGCACAATTGCTTTACAGTGGTACCTCAGGTTACATACTCCACTAACCCAGAAATAGTGCTTCAGGTTAAGAACTTTGCTTCAGGTTGAGAACAGAAATCATGCTCCGGCGGCGCAGCAGCAGCAGGAGGCCCCATTAGCTAAAGTGGTGCTTCAGGTTAAGAACAGTTTCAGGGTAAGTATGGACCTCCAGAACAAATTAAGTACTCAACCTGAGGTACCACTGTACACATTTTATTTATTTTATGTTTTTAATTACATTTATTGTAACAAAAATAATGTTAATTATTTCTATATTGTATATTATTACTTTTCTATTGTCTGTTGTATGGGGTCTGATTGCGTTTGAAGGTAAGAGGTATCAATGGTATTCCTAAATAATTTTTTCTAAAAATATTTCTAGGCTCTGAAATCTATGGTCGTGTCATGGTGGATCCTGTCCAGAATTTAGGAGATTCTTTCATTTGTAACATTGAGAAGGTGTTTTTGTGCACTGGGGCTGACGGGTATGTCCCCAAGTACAGTCCAGATAACAAGGAATATGGTTGCCTAGCAGACTCCCCTTCCCTCTTATACAGATTCAAGATACTGGTATGTACCATGGTATACTACAGCACAGTCCTAATACAACAAGTTTGAAATCCTGAATGTAATAATGTACCAGTGTTGGTTTCTTTGTCTTCTAGGATAAAGCTCAGCCTGATACCCAGGCAAAAGTGTTTGGAAATATGGCCTTCAATGCAAAACTCGCTGTTGATCACATAGATGGTTATCCTTTGGTAAAGCAGCCAGGGTCTGATGGATTCAGCATGTTGTCGACTCCACTATTCCAGGTAACCTCTGAGAGCAATATTGTTCCAGAACTTTTGTATGTTGGAAACTAACTAACTTCCTAACTAGCAAGGTATTTTTCAAAACTCCTGCAGTTTTTCAAAACACAGCCTTATGCATAACAGTGTTTTTTTAAAAAAAAGTGTTCTGGGAATTTTGTCAAAAAAGTTTTTTGCTTTTCTTTGTTGTTTACATGAAAGACAATTTTTGGCACCATCAATCCAAACCTATTTATGATGAAATCTTTTTTTCCATGTCAGTGGAAATAAATAAAACAGTTAAATGTTATTGATCAAGGGATGCAAAATCCTCACCTTCAAATACTCCCTGGAATAGATTGTAAACATTCCATCTTAAATCAAGGGACTGTATACAAAGCAGGTTTTAGGTTTGCATACTGTGTTGTTAAACTCTGCCCCCCTCCCATGCAAAATAGCATTGTCATGTTATTTTTATGTCAGGAGCAGTACTTTAGGAGACAGTCATATTTGAAATCTTGAGCCCCAGAGAGATTAGGAGGCATTTAGCAACTTAATTTTGCTTAACGTTGTCATGTGTGTTTTTAATTTAACAGGTAGCAGCAGGTCGAGAATGGTACATCCACACTATCTACATGGTTCGGTCACGTGAGAATGCCCACAGAGGCCTTGGAAAGAGAAGTGTCGAGTACCATCACTTTTTATCTTCAGCCAGTGGAATACCAGGTGCTACACATTCTGGGCGCAGTCGGAGAGCCATCTCGGATGCTCCTACGCTTGCGCAAGATATCAGCGCAGATAAGAATAGAGGCACCAACATCCAGCACATAGCTCTTGACCGGTCTAACAAAATTGTTATTGAGCAGAAAGATTGGTTCCCGCCAGGTAAACCATATGAGAAGCCGGTCCTGGAAATTACTGGAAGCGACATGGAAGACAGGATTGTACCTATTGTCGGAGGAGCAGCTGGGCTGCTGCTTCTGATCAGCACAGTTTTGATTATCATCTTCCTATTGAAGAGAAAGGGACGTTCTACTAATAGGAAAGCAAATTCCTGCACTGGCTATTCCAGCAGTAATGAAACTGTGACCACGCGACACAGCAGCAGTGATAGCTCTGAAGTCTAAATTACATCACAAAGGTGAGGGTTGTCGTTTGAAGATATTTCATTTCATCATAAAAACTGGTATGGGGGTGGGGCTGTGTTTGCACAGACTTGGGAGCTGCTGTGTTGGTGCTAGGTTGTGTGAGATTCCAGCATACAAAAAGTGTAGCAAACAAGATGAAGTGTGTAGAAGTGTGAGTGCTTTATTTATAACTTAACTTCCTCCCCACCTACCCAGGAAAACAGGATGGATTCCTGGAATAAACTTAGCTCCCCCCCCCCCCGTCTTCTTCAAATGGTGCTAAAAAAGATAAATCATCAGCTAGCAGCTATTAATGTGCCTTACCGACCATCATGAAAGCCTGGTGCTCCTCAAAGGGATATTGATTTCCTTTTTGTTTAACTTGTATGATGTCTAGTTATACCCGTCTTGTATATGGAAAGGGGTGGTGTGAGGGAGAATGAGAGAAGGGGTCAGATTTTAATGAGAGAGGGTAGAAGAAAAGTATCTGTAATTAAATCTCAGAGCAGAATTGTGCTGCCCAAGTGGCTGGAAAAAATGGAAAGCTAATTTAAAGAGTATCCAAATGGTTTTACCAACAGGTATTACAAATACACCTTAATACAAGACCCTAAAGCTGACGTGTCCTTAGTATTTTATCATGCCTTTTACGATAACCCTAAATCATTACTAGATGGCCCTTCCTTTTGTCTGCCTGCAGTTAGTAAAATGTCAATTAGCTTGGCAAATTTTGTAAGATATTGTGAATAACTTAAGACATTTATATCCTATAATTAGTTGTCAGATTCATTGAGCAAAATAACTAATCCAGCTATGTAATCTCTAAACCATCAAATGCAGCCACTGCAGTAAAGAAGCTTGGAATCATTACCACCAAATGTTTTGGTAAAGGGTTGTGCGAAGCATGTTTTCTAATGCTGTAACAGTGGTATGAGGAAGCTAGACTGCATGGTTTCTTATTTGTGTGAAGCAGCACCATGTGGTTCAGGCTGTTCTGTTCCATGTCAGGTAACCCTTTACCTTTGCCCACATTTTTGAAACAATATTTGGCACTGGTCAGCATCTGACAGACTCAAATTGCTCTATGATGAAGACAGTCACGTCCATGACAACTAAATACAGCAACCATCTCAGTTTGCCAGTGAGTATATATAACACTAAAAAATGTAGTTAAAGATTCATTCATTCATTCTACATGCAGCTTTTGTAAATTTCAAGTATGAATCTTCTGCTGAGCATTGCCTACAGCTAAGATAATGGGTTCAGACAAGGTTTGTTCACAGAAAATTCAAATATGCAGAATTTTATGCATGCTTACTCAAAAGCAAGTCATAATTTTTATGAGACATTTTCACTAAGTTTTATTTTGCTTAATTGGTCAGATTTTTTAACAGATAAGAGGTGGTGCCTATTTTAGAAGTATTTGCTTTTTCATTCAGGAGGTACTTTGTGCCCTGGTACTTGTTTGCAGCACAAAAGAAACAAACATATATGCAATTAATTAAAAATTCCTTATTGACTTTAAAACCCTCCAAAGCACATAACTGTAAATAGTGTTGTTAAGAAAAAATCTAAGTGATAAAACCGAAATGGGAAAGCTGTCAATTGATAAATCTGCCTTCTACAGCCTTACAGGCTAGCCCTCCAAACATGGAAATTGAGTTTTACTATGGCAGCTGACCTCAGATACTTCATTTAGCCACTGTGGCCCAGTAGACTGCAGCAACCTTTGACAAAGGAGAACAATTACTATGTGCTTAAAAGCCTGCAATCCTATACAGTGGTGCCCCGCAAGACGAATGCCTCACAAGACGAAAAACCCGCTAGACGAAAAGGTTTTCAGTTTTTGAGTTGCTTCGGAAGACGAATTTCCCTATGGGCTTGCTTCGCAAGACGTTGCGTTTTTTTTCCGCTTTCCCCTCTTTTTTCTAAGCCGCTAAGCCGCTAATAGGGTTGCTTCGCAAGACAAAAAAACCGCTAGACGAAGAGACTCGCGGAACGGATTATTTTCATCTTGCGAGGCACCACTGTACCTGTTATGTAAGATGTAAACTCCATTGAACTCAGGACTTACAGTGCAATCCTCTAAGCTTGCTTGGAAGTAATTGATGCTATGCATTTTAAACTAAGGTAGAGGGGCTGCTCCTCCTGCCTACCTGGGACCTGTTTCTTCCAGAGTGCAAGGGAGGGCAAAGCAAATTAATCCAGCAAGTCCCACCAACCAGTCTCTGTATTGTTGAAACATCTGCTTCAGCATCCCAAGTTACTGAAAGGGACTAAAATGCAAGTATTTCTTCATTACCTCACCTTCTGTGTGACCTAGCTGTTACTGACCAGCTCCTTTCTTGCTGTTTATGGAATCAGAGATATAAGCATTAAAACATGCATTTGACACTGTTGTATATTTCTGCAATATGCTTATGCTACTTGTTTTCCAGATATGAGCAAAGCCGGTTCAGGCAAGCACTGAAACATTATCATTGAATTGTCCTGTCGTTTATACGTTCTTATAATTGTGACCTTACACTTTTCATTGTGAAATTGCCAAAACGTTTTATAAAGGTTTTTTTCTTTCATACTTTTTTGTGTGAATTACTTGTCTCCTTACTATTCTTATGCTGTATTACCCCTGAATAATAAGCTGGTCAGTTCAAACTAAGTTAAGAAAGCCTAGTTTGTACAACAATCATGAAGGAATCAGTACCAACCACTGCAAAAGATGTTTGCATGTAAGTGAATACAACAGACCTCTCATGAACTGGACTTACCTTTGAGATTTTCCTTTGCCTATTTCTTACATCCAGTATAGCTCAATTTGAATAACTTATCTCTGTCACTGTTAAAATAGACAACTGTAAAAGCCACTTTGTGTTGCTACTTCTGAACCCAATAAATCTTGAGCCATGAGTTTCAACACTATTCATGCAGAAAGAAAGGGACAACATATAAAAAAGTTAGTGACCAGTAAATGAAGCCTATTTTTTATTTCAAGTGTTAATGGTAAAAAAAAGTTCAGCACAGCTGTTTTATTTAAAAAAGTGAAACTACATTACTATTCTTCTAGTTCAGTAAGTAAACACATGAACCCAATGTCCTTTAATGACATAATAGTTGAGAATTGTACAGTACATCTTATGAAGACCCGTAAAATTAAAGAACTACTTTAAAGTTAGTGATAAGAACTTAGAATTCACAGCTTTAACTTCTTTTTCCTCCCTCTACCATCAGGAGTACCGTCCAGCTTACGTTTCTGCACCTGGATAGGGAGTGAGAGAAAGATTAGATTTTGGCCATGATCCAAAGGACCAGAGAACTACACTGAATAAACAGAAGAGTACTTTTGATCAGCAGAGTTTGAAAGCACCTTTTTAAATGGCATAGTCTGTTAAAAAGAAAGTCAAAATTCCAGTGGCACAAACCCCCAGAGGGAGCCTTTGGAAGCAGCTACAGAGGCCAGAGTACACATGTTCCTTCAGGGGATGATTTGGTCAAGGATTCAGATACAGAAAGCGACTGTTTTCAAATTATGTGCCAAATTCAACAGGTTCTCTTCACATAAATCACTTGTAACAAATTCATATTTTACACTCACCAAAGATGGCTTTGGGCCCCGTTTTTTCTTTTCTGCCTTCTCTTTTTCTTCTAATTCCATGTTTTCTCTTTCAATCAAAGTGATCAAGGTGTTGCATCGTCTTTGCAGCTCCTGAGTCATGAACAAGGAAACAGACCCAATTATACAGTAGTCACAACACACAAAAAGTTCACACAACTACATCCTATTCCCAGTAGTCTCTGAATCAATCTGTGGTGTAGAAAAGAGCAGCTTGAAAAAGCCAACATTACATAAGTAGAGGGAAGAATGAATATGATCAAAATAGAGCCCACTAGTACAGTGCTGTGGGCATTAAGTGAACTCTTAACAAGGAGGGTGTATATATTGTTTTTGAAAAATCAGTCATAGGTTTGATTTCTGCAAGTGGTGCCTATCATATACAGAAGTGACTAAGAAGCTTCCCAGTTTGGGGGATGGGAAGAAAAGAGATAGGAAGGGGCCCATGTAAGTCCCTCAACCAACAACACCACTGGACTTTAATAAATAACCACATTGCTGAATACAGCATTAGTGAGTAGACATGTGACACCTTGACTTATAGCCACGTAAGGTTACTTCATCAGTGTGCATGTTTTTAGAGTGAGCCTACAAAAGACCCTCACGGTAAACTTGCCAAAAATAGGGGCAAACGCTGTAAGTACACAGGAGATAAGGCCCTAGTTGAAAGAGTTTGTTCATTTTGGCCTGCTAACTCCAAAGCAGGTTCCAGTGTGGAAGACAACAGCTCTAGCTCTCTGAAACACAGTTTCTGAAGAGGTTCCCTTCAGAAGACATTGATACATTCAAACTAATACATACCATTGCAGTTCTAGACTTGAGGAACCAATCAAATCTGAATTGGGGAGAGTTGCGAATACATTGCCTCAACTCATCATAAACATTTTCTTTGTCAAATCCTAGCTTGTGAAGCATGCAGATTAAAAAGCGATCTTCCTCTTCCGTATAATTTTTTCCTTTGTTAGTGCCATACGATATCCTCAGCTGGTGAAAAGGTGCTTTGTACCTGCCAATCTAAGCAAAAACAATTTCATGCACAGAACTAGACAAGCATCAGTGTACTGCAGGTTAGAGACATGACCCACAGCTCCGTATCACTTTGAAACATGATTTTAAGTTATATATAACTCTACTTTTCTAGCAACACTGAAAACATCATTTGTAGAAAATCAGCATGTATAACTCAACCCACTTTTTAATGGGCTATATTTTCTTTCCAATTGTGGATAATAGACTGTTTTCAAATTCAAAGAGGAGTAAACTATTCAGACAGTAATAGGGAATTAAATCTGAAACACCAAGAGCACTTCACGGTTTCATGACTTAAGACATGTCAAGCTTAACTTCTGAAATACGGAAAAAGTAACTTGAAGAGAATAGGAAAGACAACATTTAAATGAAATTAAGTAGTATAATATATCATTACCCTGAAATGTCAGTGTAATTAAAAAGAAAGAATATATAATTACCTTTGTGTCAAGTGCCTTTTTAATACTGATCCGCCTTTGAATTCGAGCTTCACCTCTTTCAATCTGTGCCATTATCTTTTCTATATCCTGGAGTTCATTACATCGTTCCCAGAAAACAGCTGGGGGGGGGGGAATTATTTGCTAGTTACATCTTGTGAAAAGTTCATCTGTTTCATAATCTTAATTAGGTTAAATAAATATGAATTTATAGCTACTGATATGTAAACAAGTCAGAGCTAGTATGATGTAACAATTAGTGTTGGACTGTGACCTAGTAAAATGAGTTCAAATCCTCACCCAGCGATGAAGCTCAATAGGTGACCTTGAGCCAGTCAACATCTCTCAAAGTAGCCTACCTCACAGGGTTGTTGTGAGGATGAAACTGGGAGGATGGGGGGGGGACCATGCTCACCACCTCAAGCTCCTTGAAAGAAACTGTGGCGCAAGGAACTTTTATGCTTATATAATGTATGTATTGCAGCTTTATGTGCAATACCAATTTTTTAAAAAACATGATGCAAAAACGGCACACACAGGGGAATAAAAAAATGATGCATGCAGGGGAAAGATGGAAGAGAGCAGAGAAAAACAGCCAGCAGCCTTTGTGAGAGTAACTGGATGCAGAAGAGGCGGCTAGAGAATACAGCTGGGCGATACCTGGTTTTCAAAAGCTAAATAGCGCAATGTGCGATATATCACAATGTCTGGGGTGGTTAATCCTTTTGGCCTGGCAGGCCAGCTCAAATGTCTTCCTCTGCTGACTGCCAGGTGTTTGGGAAGTGCTGCACACAGAAAAGAGCAAGCTTTGCAATCCTTGTGCTTGAGAGGCACAGAGCACAGAGCTTGCAAAGCTCCTTGGCACAGTGCATCCTAAGCACCTGGCAACCAGTGGGTTATCAGGCACTTATGAAGTACTTTGAAAGGGGCTTTGCAGGCACTGTCAACTGGCCTTTTTGAGAAAGCCCCACATTTACCTTCACCACAAACACTATAAATGATGTCAGGTGTAGGTAGGGCAGGACACTGGCTTGCCAGTAGCAGCTTTGCAGGCCAAATGGGGAAAGCCAACCAGCTATTATTTCCCATGCCCTTTATTTAGGCAAATATTCACTTTAAAATATCCTGTTGATAGAAAACTGGCATTTTAATCCATTTTGCACTGAATAAATCTCAAAACAGATTTTATGGCTGACTCAGTTGTTTTTAAGATTTCATAGAAAAAACTTCCCAAAAAACTCAAAAGTGATATCAAAAGTACTCACTTGCCTAGGAGTAAGCTCCATTGAACTCAGTGGAGCTAGACATGTATACACATGCATGTCTATTCAGACATAAAATCATTCACAGAACTTCTCACAAGAAAACATAAGTTACCAGAATATTCAATGACTTCCTCTGGAGTTTTTCCTTCTACTTCCCGGGCTATATTTTCAATGTCATCGCGACCCCATTTTTCATTAGCTTTGATGAACTGATTGAAGTCTCTCTTATTCCAATTTGTGAACCCCTTAAAAAATAGCAAGATAGGTATTTAGGATTTTCATGTTTCTTTCAAAGACATAGCTTAATTGGGTCATCAGCTGCCTTGAGAACTTTCTGGCTAACTTAAGGGAGTTAAAACTTTGAAAACAGTGTTCTCTCTAAGTGACCCAGATTAAGCTTTATTTATCATGTAAATTTGTATCCTACCATCTTTTAATGTAAAACAATTCCAGGGTAGTTTACTACAAGATAAGAACTAAGAACAGCATCAGGAGAACAGATGAAAACAGTTTAATCAGAGATTAAAATCTGAAGGAGAAAACAAATACTAAACCTGTCTAGCATCAAAAACAGAAGGCACCAAGAACCCTGCATGGGGACAGTGGGTTTTATTATTATTTATTAAAATATATACACCACTTGATTGTAAAAAAACCCCTCAAAGTGGTTTACAAAAGAAAAAAACAGTACTTTGAGTGCTTCTCAAAAACAAGTTTTAAAGAAGAAAACAAATCAGTTTTCTCTTTGTAGTATTAACAGAAATGAAATGAAATGTAGACTTAGCCATAATATGTCATAGAAGGGTGACCATACCTGGGTTAGTAACTTTTCTTTTTCTTCCAACTCTTCTTCATTAAGGGGCTCAGCTTCATCAATTTTAATTTGCTCTTCCTTTTGTGCCTGGGATGCATTGGGTAAGTCAGGATTACGAGGTACCTAAAATTTACCAGACATCACCAAATACTTAAACTAAGCTTTCTATATGAAAAATTATTTGACTTTGCTAAGATTAAAATAAGATAAACCAGTGGCAAATTATATAGCATCAAAACAAAATATAAATTTATTTAAATTAAAATGAAAAATGAAACATTGGTTATAATTTACCTTGTACCCAATGGTTTTTCTGTAATAAAGAATCTCTTTTTCCAACAGTTCAAACAAACGTGGTGGAAAGAACTGGAAATCCTGAACATTAGGCTGTTTTGGAGGGCGTGGCGCCTTAAAAAAAGAGACACACAAATCAAAGAAAAGAAATCAAGGCTATTTACACCATCAGGCCCACTAATACAGTAGGCAAATATTAGCAACTACAACCTCCCCAGAACAAGAACTACACAAGATACAAACCACAAATCATGCCAAAGGAAACAGCAGCAGAATAAATGTTTCTCAAATAATAGGACCTTCTATAGCAGTCTGTCAAGAGTAGTAGACTTGTGTAGTATGCTTAATTTTACACAAAATGGGTATTTTGGAAAATAAAGGCTTTAACAAACTGATTCCACCCCACCCTCCCCATAGCAAATAAGCTAGCTTTTTTTCTATTTATGTTCTGGTTTATGAATTAGCTTACTTTTGGTGCTTTTGGTTCACTGACACGAAGAGCTTCCCTGAAATAAGCATCAACAGCATAGTTTGCTTTTCTCTCACGCTTAGGTGGTTCAATCCACTCTGTGAATGCCATCTGCAATAAGCAATATTGTTGGATAATGAAATATTAACCACTCTACAGATCCCAACAACACTGCGTGAAATTCTGGTCACTAAAAGCCCCTCATTACCTTTTGCTTCTCTCTATAATCTTCTCCTTCAAAGTTATAGACACTTGACTCTGTATCCACCGTAAAATTTCTGAGTGAGCTTTCACCCATGTTGGAGAGTTTCTCATTCATTTCTGCAGTCTAAAAATACAAGAACCATTTTTTTCAATAAAACTTAATGCTTCATAACAAAATGAGAATTGCATGCTCTCAAGACAAAGCATCATTAGTGGTATTCAAATTTTGACCTGGAAAAAACGAAGCTCACATTTTATTCTGGTATTTCATAACATGTTAACTTACTTTCTTTGCCCCTCTTTCCAAAATTCCATCAATATCTTCATCGGTAATTTCACTCTCCTTGGAAGCAAAGACATGGGTAGCTCCATGCCTAATCATCTGCAACATCTCATCTTTCCCCAGTTTGTTCAGATTTTGATCCACTAGTCTTCCTGAATATGAAAAAATGTTGTTAAGAAACAGAATGCAAGACTAAAAGACAAGTACTTTGAAATATGCTGTCATAAGAATGTTTTTAATTTTCTTTTTTGAAATCTGGTCAGCCATAGAAGCAGTGCTATTATTTGAAATGTCATTTCTATTGCTAAGCAAACACTTTTGATTAAATTAGTATGAGTGTACTCAATCTTTAAACACTCTACTTTTGCCTATACAGTGCAGTTTACATTATTTTTTCATACAAAAAGAGATTTTCTGAAAAAATACACAATACTTGAGACAACAGGTGAACTTCACCATAACCTATAGAAAACAAGTAATATTTAAACACTTGGATCTCTTTCTTTCTGCCTGGCAACATGTAATGTCTGATAATGGCTTCATAATAATTACAGACCATACTTTCTGAAACCACTTTCAGTAAAGATATTTTTGTAGACTTCCTGGTTTTTGTGCAACTGAAATAATATTGGTCACTAAAACAATATATTCTATGTAAATAAAAGTTATTTAATAGTACTGATTTAGGCCATGGAAGTTATACATCTTCCTAAGATTACTTAAACATTTTTACTTTTTTCTGGATTTAAAAAAGTCAAAAGTAATTCTTCACACAGTGCATAGTTTAAAACTGTAGTATTTCTTGCTAAAATCTGGGCAGCTTCAAAAGGGGATTAGATAAATTCATGGAAGAAATGGCTATCAATTTCTACTAGTAATGAAGGTTATATTTTAGTTTCAGTATGTGATGTAGTGTATCCTGAATACCAGTTGCCAGGAAACAGAGCAGGAGAGACATTGCACCAATGCCATGAGGCTCCAATAGGCATTTGATTGGAAAATAATGCTGAGCTAAATGGCCCTTTGGTCTGATCCAGTAGGGCTTTTCTTATGTTATGTCCAAACACTACTACAAAATGTGCATCATAAAACAGCTTCTTAACTTACTAAAAACACCCAATATCAACCAATATCACTGTGCACACTTGTTGAAAGAAAAGCCAAGTTCAATTTACCTTGTTGAATAACTATGGAATCCAAGCGAAGTTTCATTTCTGCTCTTTCAACTATTCTTTCTTCTACAGTGTTGTCTGTAATAAACCTGAATACTCTAACAGTCTTTGTTTGACCAATTCTATGTGCTCGATCCTACAAAGAAAAGAACTCAGTATTTAAGTTATCCACAATAAAGCACTAGCATTATATTGAACTATATTCATGCAACTCTGCATAACTTAAAATTTATTCATATGAAAGTAGAAGCCAACATCTTGAACAGAAATGATAACACTGAGAAAAACTTTCTTTTATTTATAAAAGTACTTGTATACTGCAATTCATAAAAAAACAATGAAGCAATTTACAAAAATTGAACATAACCCATACAATTAAAACAATATAAAATGTTAAGATATCAGTCAGCTACTGCCAACTTGGGGAATAATTAACGATACTCCTACAGATGACCTCAGTGTCTGAGCTGGGATGTAAGTGTTCAGGGAATCCCTGAGTTACCCTGGACCTAAGTTGTTCAAGGCTTTGTAAATTAATACAAGAACATTGAACCTGGATCAACAGTAGATAGTACAATTTTAAAATAGGCTCTTGCAGAGTCAACAAGTGTATAGCATGAAAATGTGTTCAAAAACAAAGCAGAAGTGAGATTCAAGTTCATGCTTTCTAAGGTACTCTTATGAACCTTACCATAGCTTGTAGATCTACTTGAGGATTCCAGTCTGAATCATAAATGATTACAACATCAGCTGTAGCCAGATTGATTCCCAAACCACCAGCTCGTGTGCTCAGCATGAACACAAACTTTGAGCTTCCAGGTTCATTGTACGCATTAATGGAGGCCTATATAAAAAAATGAGTCAGTCGGTACATCAATATTGATTCATAAATTTTCAAAGAGAAAAAATATTAAGCTTAATTCTTCTGAGCACCTACTTGTCTCTCATCATGAGGCGTCTGCCCATCAAGCCTACAATATTCATAGTTTCGCCACATGCAATAATCTTCTAAGATATCTAGGACTCTGGTCATCTGACTGAAGATTAGGACGCGTGAATCTGTTCAAGATTTTAGAAGATAGTTCAAAGTAAACCGCACTCTCAAACCAATTAGTGATCTCAAGAATTTAAAGAAACAACTGCAAAATTTATGGCAATCCAGAAGTATACATCAAATACATAACTAAAAACATTAATTGCACAATCACATACTATTTTTATGCATAAAGCAACTATGAAAGCAATTCCACACCAACAGGCAAATATTTGAACAGGTTCTATGATTTTAAAATATTGTACACAACTTCTCCAGGAAGAAGGGCTGCCAGAAAGGGTTAACTCCAGCACCTTGCACCTAAAGGAATATTTGCAACTAGTCAATTGTTTGAATAATGTTCAGGGTACAGAAAAGGCTTCTTCAGGAATAGTCTCACTGCTATAATAAAGCTTAAGATTCCAAGATTTCACTAACAGGCGGACCCTATAAGTTGTGTATAGTACTGTCTAGGATCTCAATACATCAATCTTGTTCCATTTAGCAGTAAAGACTAATATATTCCTACAAGGCACTACAAAAAGCCCAAACTGGGCAAATGCTACCTTATCAAATAAGAAAAGAGGCAGTTTCCCACCTGCATTTACCAGTAAGATAAACATGTTACCTTGTTCTTTCAATTTTGGCAACAGTTTGTCCAAGACAACCATTTTGCCACTGTTAGTAACCAAATGCATATCTGTTGTGTAAGGTGGGCCAGGCTCTGCTCCATCAAACAGGTATGGATGATTACAACATTTTCGCAACTGCATAAGAATGTTCAGTAATCTCATTTTGTCCAGTTTTCCAGCAGAATTCAATATATCAATGTCCTTCATTAAGATTCTTGTATACCTGTATTGAAAGAGTAAGGCAACTGAGAATCACGTCACACAAAGAGTTTTCATACACAACCAGCAAGATTAAATATTTTGTTCATTAATTTCATATTAATTTCAATTACTTACCATTCTCTCTGCATTTTGCTGAGACCTACATATATTTTAACTTCCTTTTTTGGAGGCAAACTTTTCTCTACTTCAGCTTTAATACGACGCAAGAGAAATGGTCGTAGAACCTACCAAAAACACAAAAAGCAGCACATGACTTCAAATTGCAGCACTACACACGGACTTGTTCATATTACCGATACTTCAGAACTATATTGCTTTCCACCCCCCTTTCAGTTTGATAGGCTGTATGTGCTGTAGGCATTCCATACATATGTACGATACAAAAAGATGCAAATAATTCCATCTGCATACAAGGGTATGCCTGATTTCTGGTTCCAAATACAGTGCCATACTTCCCAACGATATTAAGTGGCAATTGAACGCAATCTCTTATTAGCCCCAATATCTACAGTACATCAATTTTTGTAACATATCAACTGAAGCTTGCAAGCAGAAAATTATTCACCTCCCAAGTACAATGCATATAGAGAGTTGATTGTGTTACAGAGAATAGTAGAAACATTCCTGTGAAGTTCAATGGATTAAACTAACTGATAGTATAATTAAAATCTCACCATATGGAGCCGTTCCACTAGTTTTTGATCCCCAAGACAGTTGTTTGTATCAAACCATGAATCAAAATCCTGTATTGAAATATTAAAAAGTTTAATCAGTCACCTTTCAGAATAAGATTACCCATTATTTGTCTAAGAACAAAAAATGCAATTTATTGTTGTTATGTAGTTCTGCAAAGGCTAAATCCAAGTTTTCAGGAAGCATACATAACTCTTCTAGTTCAAGCTTTCCTTGCAAAGTTGTAAGAATGTTATGGCTCTGTTCCAGATGAATTAAGAGACAGAATATGCTGCAGATTCCCTTCAGATAAATATTTGAAAATTAGGTGCTAGGCACTCATTAAACCCACATCTCCTACCTTTCTTGCACTAACCATGACTTCACATAACACATGCACTGACACAAGCAATGGATAATACAATCCAACTTCCTGCCCAGAAATGTTTTGCAAACCTACTTTATGCCAGTTTCACAGCTGACATTGGTTCACATATAATGCAAAAAACCAGAACCAAAGTAAAGACTGCATTGGGAGGAGGAAAAGTTACACTGGAAAGTAATGTTCACAAGGCTCCTATCTGCATACCATAGTATTGTAAAAAGTCAAAATTACACCTGCCACTAGCCAGATAAGTCAATTTCCATGTCCAAATACAAGGTAGCCCAATCAGCATCAATAAGGGATTATTTCTGCCTTATGTGCATTTGAAGATTCTAGAGACCTGCATTGGTTTGTTCATTAGCATAAATACATAAAAGTTATTCTCTCAAATAGAAAGTCTTCCCACTTTTTCAAATTATTTACATAGAATAGAATGTATTTTTTTAAAAAAAAATTCTAGCTAAATATGCTTTCACTAATTCTTCCTTTTGTTTTATCAACTATAATCTTCCTGGAAAAGTAATCTTATATTTCTGAATAGTCCCAAGGAATTCAATGGGGTTTACATCAAGGCAAGATGATAAAGTTTGCTTCGTGGAATACTAAGGATGCCTATTGCCATTACTCTGACAATTATAAGTACATTTGAGAAGTTTTGTGGCTAACAAAACTTCACCTACACCACCTTCCCCCAACCTGCTGCCCTCCAGACATTTTGAACTACAGACTCCCATAAGTCACAGTCAGTGGGTTGGGGAAGGCTGCTATATACGCAAACCACCAAGCATTGTAAGAGATCTCTCATGAATGTGCACACCAAATATAAGTAATCATCAGTATTTGATAGGCAAGATTAAAGTGAATTTTAAAAGTTGCAAACCCTTACATCAGCTGAATTAAAGACGTCTGGCAGTAAAAAGTTAAGAAGTGCCCAAAGTTCATGCAAGTTGTTCTGTAATGGTGTTCCAGTTAACAGTAGTCTATTTGTAGTCTTGAACTCTCTCACAATTTCTGACAACTGAAAGAAAAATACATATATATATATTTTAAACTTGAAGAAATATTTTTTGCATGATTTAAATATTTACATCCACTGGGTGTTTCAAAATACCTTTGATTTTTCATTTTTGATTCTGTGAGCTTCATCAATAACAAGGTATCTCCAGTTAAATTTTTTGAACACAGATTTCTCTTTAATGAGCATTTCATATGATGTTACACAGACATCCCATTCACCAGGCAACAATACATCTCGCACAAATGCGGCCTATTAATAAGAGGGAGGAAAATGATTTGAAAAACTGTAAAAATACAACTATTATTTCGCATATTTCACAAAGTACCATCGTCACCTCAGGTTTGATGCTGGTTTTTAAAAGTATTTCTCTAGACCAGGGCAGTCCAACTTTCCATGCCAAGTGGGCTGCAAGAGTACTTCAACATAGAACCTGCAGGCCACACACAAAATTGAATTTCCAAATCATGAATTAAAAGTGTTTGTAATTTATTTATTATAATATACACAGTTAATAATGTATGCACTTTCATTAACAATGCATGACACAAAAACTTTTTTTTAAGGCTTTAAGGTGATTTTTCTTGAATGTTGCCAAAGGCCCCATGGGCCAAATGTTAGCCTGTGGGCCGTGAGTTGGACCACCCTACTCTAGATCATCTTAAAATGTTCTGCAAATTCAGGATGATATAGAATTAAAGCCTGTGGAATGCGGAGAATATGGGGTTCTGGGTGGTATATTTCCTGATTCATCACACCTGTCCTTTTCCCCCATCCTACCACATCAGAACTTAAAAGAAAGCTGGTGCATTAGAATCCAAGAACCTGAGTCACAGTCTCTGGAAATCTGTTTGTTAATAACACATAGTTTGTTGCCCAGCTTAGCTGTTGTTTGTTTTAAACTAAGAGCCCTGGTTTGTATATTCTGCTAAACAAAGATGCTTTGAAAGGAAACTAAACTTAGCAAATGTCCTTTTCTTGGGAACACAAAATGAGAAATGGGAGGAGGAGCACAAAAGCATATTTCACTCAAGGTAATCCACATGGTACTAAATCTTGGTTTAGCATTATGTGCTAACTACACCAGAAAATTTGAGGGAAACACTGAGGTGGTTCATACTCACTCGCTGGTCTTTGTCACCTATCAGACATACTGCCCGAAGAGTTGGCACCCATCTCTTAAACTCACTCATCCAATTATGTAAAGTTGATTTGGGAACTAATACCATATGAGGACCAGGAATATTTCTGTAGTGTTTCATATACCCAAGGAGAGAAATTGTTTGCAGTGTCTTTCCCAGACCCTATTAACAGAACATGTATCAAGTTAACTTGAGAAGTTTCCAGTCACCAAGATAAAATAACTAATATATACATAGGTAGGGGGTTAGACTAGATTACCCTCAGGATCCCTTCCAATTCTATGAGTTATATGTCTATGAGTTAAATATTCTTATTAGCCAAAAAGACACAATGAACAACAAAAATGTCCTCTACTCAAGAAAGAACATGTATAAAGAAGACATCCAAACACAGCTAATTCCCTAAAACAAACATTTTTGAAGCTATCTATGTTTGCAAAACTTTCAATCAGTGCACAGGCATATCTCATTTCTCTTTCAGCTCTGCTAGACAGGATTTGTCCATTATCCAAATTATCAGGTGCGCATTTTTCTTAATCATCTTCTCCAACTACATGCTGCATTTCTCAATATAACCTGTCACATGCCTTAGAAACTGTATCACTTAAACTGAATTTGGAAGCAACTTAGTCCAGAAGCAACTTTCAGCTGCTTGCCAGAAGCAGGAACAATAAGTGGTGAGGACATGTTGATGCCAGTTTCTCAAGCTTCTTGAATGCTAATTATCCAACAGATGGAAACATCTTCCTACAATCTCAGAATATTGGCCTTTCTAAATGTGAAACACTCTTAACCAGAAAAGCAGCAACTTGAGAGCCTACATTGTTCCACAGAACAAAAAAGATATTCTCTAGTTGGATTTTACTGACGCAAATCAGCATATGAACGTCATTATGTACTGTAAAGTGAACTGTTGTTATTTGCATTTGCTGTTATGCATCTGGTTTAAACCAATGTCAGATTTAGCCACAATGTAGTACAAAGACTCTGACAAAAAGAATGTAGTAACTATTTCAGTTTAGTATGATTACACCCGCGGGACGCGGGTGGCGCTGTGGGTAAAACCTCAGCGCCTAGGACTTGCCGATCGCATGGTCGGCGGTTCGAATCCCCGCGGCGGGGTGCGCTCCCGTTGCCCGGTCCCAGCACCTGCCAACCTAGCAGTTCGAAAGCACCCTCGGGTGCAAGTAGATAAATAGGGACCGCTTACTAGTGGGAAGGTAAACGGCGTTTCCGTGTGCGGCTCTGGCTCGCCAGAGCAGCTTCGTCACGCTGACTACGTGACCCGGAAGTGTCTGCGGACAGCGCTGGCTCCCGGCCTCTAGAGTGAGATGAGCACACAACCCTAGAGTCTGTCAAGACTGGCCCGTACGGGCAGGGGTACCTTTACCTTTTTATGATTACATCTAATTTAAATTTGATAATATCAGACAAAATCAGTTGTTGCACATACCATTTCATCTGCTAAGATACCATTGATGCCATTTTCATACAAAGAAATGAGCCAATTCAACCCTCGGACTTGATAATCACGCAGTTTTCCCCATTTTACATCTGCAACAAAAACAGTATACAGTATGAAATAAAGTCTCCATTAATACTTCCAATGACCAAGAAGAAAACCTAAGAGGATATCAGAATACTTTAGTATATATCCTAACAGTGAGCATTGAAATCCTTGGGGACACCAGGACCAGAGATCCCTCAGCTGCAACAGCAACTAGGGTACCCAGAAAAGTTTCTCTCAGTTCTACCTGCAGATTTGCCGAACCTCAAGTTTTGGTCAAATGTCCTAACATCTTGTTAGCCATAGCACAATACTTCCACAGGTAAGCCAATCAACACAGATGAGGGAGAAAGCTATCCTGATTGTCTACTTTAAAAAAACAACAACACACAGTTTAGATGGTGCACTGTAATGACAGCAAATTCCTCTTGGCAACGAGCATGAAACACACCAGGGAAATAAACCAAGTACTATAAAGGATCCAAACAGACTATGTACACACTGCCCAAACAAATCACTACATTTTTATTACCTGCAATTACTTTTGGTTGGTTGATATTTGGCAAATGTAAGGGTTTCTGTAAAATTTGGCAGAAAGCATTCTCTATTTTAGTCTTAAAATACTGTATTTTTCCATGTATAAGACTAGGTTTTCCCCCTAAAAAATAATGTAAAAAATTAGGGGGCGTTTTATACTCTGGGTCATCTCCCCTCATTTTCTTAAATCTGAGTCCCCCCAAATAGGGAGCGTCTTATACATGGGGGCATCTTATAGATGGAAAAATACGGTAAGTAATTGATATTGTACCACAAAGAGCAAAAGCCACTACATACATGATGGAGAGTCTTCAAAGCGGGTGCAGACATTAGTGGTCTTTGAGCTTTCTGTTAACAGCTCCTCATCCTCTTCCTGTTCAGTTCTGCGATGGCGATAGCTAAAAACAATGCATCAGTCTAAGTATGCAGCAACTACCATGTATACCAAAACACTCAAGGAAGCATATTGCCCGAGAAGCATAACACCAGTACAAGGAAGACCCTTGCCACTCTTTCCATTTCCATGTCCCAACTGGAGAGGAAAATGGTAGTAAATGACAGGTTGCAGAAGTGAGCTCTCATTCCCTTTTCCAATCCCAAACTGAAAGAGCAGCAGGAGACTGTCCCAGAATTCATGGAGTCGCAAGCACAAGGTCGAGAACAACAGCCTGCTCCTCTCACAGGCAGTATCTGGTAGCCATCAATTTTGAGCTGGCTACAAGCCAGGCAATTTCTGTGAACCCCTGCAATACCTAAATACCCTGATCTATGAATTCCTGTATTTAAAAGATTATTTCCCCAGTCATGTGATGCTAATAAATATTGACTTTGTTTTTAGGAAGTTGTCTACTCTACACTATGGAATAAACTTAAAAGAAAAACACAGTTTACAGACAAGTGGCTTTCTTTAGAATTGTGCTTATACATTGGAGTTAATTTTAAAAAAAAACTACCTCACCACTTTTTATGCTCTAGATTGACACTTTTCTGTAAAAAGGATAATAATTTCAGTGATAATCAACAGATTGGGTAGCACTCACTCGCCAACTGATAGGAGATTTTGTTTTTCATCCTTCTTTATTCGTGGCCGTCCTGGTTTCATTTTCAAGGGTGAAGTTGGAGTCTTTTGAGCAGCAGGCTGAATGAAATGAGCAAACAATTCTGTTTGCTTCAACAGATACTCAAATCTATTTGCTCTGTCTGTTTGCTGGAATAAGAATGGAAAATATAAGCAAAGATGCAAGCAGGATTCTAGGATTACATTAGCTTTCAGCATGTCAGAATCAACTACATATTGCCCCATCTAAAAACATCCTTCCTGTTTAGGCTAAGAACATCTAAAGATGTACACACACTGAACATTCAACCCTAGTTCTGAAGACAACTCTTTTGACATCAAGTTCATTGCCATGGTTAAAAAGCTAACATGTTGTCAATGTTTCTACGGGGGGGGGGGAGAGATGCAAATTTTATCTTTAATTAACCCTCTAAGGTTGAAGAGTAGCTGAGCAAAGTTCAGAGGTTTGTTTTTTTAAAAAACACTAATATCTACTGGGGACGCGGGTGGCGCTGTGGGTTAAACCTCAGCACCTAAGACTTGCCGATCGCATGGTTGGCGGTTCGAATCCCCGCGGCGGGGTGCGCTCCCGCTGCTCGGTCCCAACGCCTGCCAACCTAGCAGTTCGAAAGCACCCCCGGGTGCAAGTAGATAAATAGGGACCGCTTACTAGCGGGAAGGTAAACGGCGTTTCCGTGTGCTGCGCTGGCTCGCCAGAGCAGCTTCATCACCCTGGCCACGTGACCCAGAAGTGTCTGCGGACAGCGCTGGCTCCCGGCCTCTTGAGTGAGATGAGCACACAACCCTAGAGTCTGTCAAGACTGGCCCGTACAGGCAGGGGTACCTTTACCTTTAATATCTATTGAGTACTCACATGCACCATTAACTGAAAAGATGTAAATGAACATTTAATCTAACTGCTGAAGGCTTGAGATGCTATGTGTGTTCCTTCCTGTAGTTAAAAATGTGCAGCCACACTGCTAGTAGGAATGCTAGTCATTATCTGAAATATTTCACTTCATTTCATAAATAATTATTTTACTTCATTTCTGTGCCAGGTACATTATATGTATGCATTTTATAATTCTTGTTCCAAAGAAAGAATGCCTCCTCCAGTCAGGAGAAAGCAGGTAGCAGATATTTCCACACAGCAAATATTAACTGCTTAGACCATGAGATGAAACAGGTATGCAAATAGAGAACATAGTAACTGGTTCTTTAAGACTAGAAGACTACATACCGTATTTTTCGCTCTATAACACGCACCTGACCATAACACGCACATCGTTTTTAGAGGAGGAAAACAAGGGAAAAAATTCTGAATGAAACAGTGGATGTATCATTTTTGTGCTTCATGCTGTGGCCACAGACATGTGATCTGATGGTGAATTTGGGGTAGCTCAATGCAAAGATCCTGAGGATTCATGTGGATCCATGCTTTTTAACCACATTTTTGCACCATTGCAGCCCCAGGCAACAGTGGGTGTGTGGTTTTTGGGGGGCAGGCTGCTATGTGATCTGATGGTGAATTTGGGGTGGCCCAATCCAAAGATCCTGAGGATCCATGTGGATCCATGCTTTTTAACCACATTTTTGCACCATTGCAGCCCCAGGCAACAGTGGGTGTGTGGTTTTTGGGGGGCAGGCTGCTATGTGATCTGATGGTGAATTTGGGGTGGCCCAATCCAAAGATCCTGAGGATCCATGTGGATCCATGCTTTTTAACCACGTTTTTGCACCATTGCAGCCCCAGGCAACAGTGGGTGTGTGATTTTTGGGGGGCAGGCTGCTATGTGATCTGATGGTGAATTTGGGGTGGCCCAATGCAAAGATCCTGAGGATCCATGTGGATCCATGCTTTGTAACTACATTTTAAGTGGGGAGGGAAGGAAAAACACAGAAGGGACAAGAGAGCGGTGTGCAGAGAAGCAGCTGGCTAAGAATGCAGGAGAGGAATTTAACGGGAGACCGAAGCCAGCTCTCTCTCTCCTGCATGTTTTCTGGCTGCCTGCGAGGAGCACGGAGAGGAATTAGAAGGAAAGACCTCTGCTTTCCCCTCTGCTTGCCTGGAGGGGAGGGGATTTGCCTGCTCTTTGTTCCGTTTGAGCAAACACAGCAACGAAACAGAGGAGGGTGGGCAGTAAGACCCTGAGGCAGAATGCAGGAAAGCAACCACTTCCTCTTTTCAGGTTTCCCTCTCCGACACAACGCACGATTGATTTTTGCTGATTTTTGTTCCTGCGCTCCCCTAATCGGCTCCAGGGACCCCCCCACATTCGCTCCATAACACGCACAGACATTTCCCCTTCCTTTTTAGGAGAAAAAATCTGCGTGTAATAGAGAGAAAAATACGGTACTTTCTTCTTTTCTGACTCTCTGCTGGCAGAATAATAGAGAAGGATAACATGAAAGCTGTCTGGATGTCCTACAATGTTTGCAAGTTTAGAAACATGGCAGGATACTCAAGTGTCTGGCTGTTACTTCTCTGTTTCTCAGGCAGATACGCACAGAAGACAGCAAATATCGGAAGTCCCTGTCATGCAAGTTGTCTTTCAACCCTTCTGACAAGACAGGGTGGGAGGACAGGAGAAAGCAGAGAGCAGCAGGAAAGGATGTCCAAGGCTGACATATAAGCAGCTATTTAGTCTCCAAGCATCAGCAGTGGTCCCACCTGGCTCTCTCCATTCTTCCAGGGCCTTTTATTCTTAAGGTAATAGGTATTGAGAAACCCATTTGGAGACATCACTGCCCTTCAAAAACTATCACCTACCTAACTGCCAAGTCACATGTTTCACAACTGTCCTTTGCCCCTTATGAACTAATTCCTAGTTCATAAGAAGGGGGACCAGGATGTAATTGCACTCGACTTGTGGAAGCATCTCTTGTTATTACCACAACTGTCCCTACCACATTGAGTCTATGAATGGTGCAAGGTGGGGGAGGCCATGGAGAAGCAAGAGGTACAAATGAGAAACAGAAGAGGTCTGTAGCACACAAGGCAAGTGAGTAGAATAAACAATATTTTCTGCAATCTTATTTGCATTGTGATGTGAAATCTCAGACAAGAAGAGATTAACATCTTTATCAATCTTCTAAACCATCTAAACAATACTTATTAGTATAAAACTACAAACCATTTTCTCTTCATATGTAGGATCTGGTTCTTGGTTCTCTTTTTGTATTCCTGGAGATTCGTCATCAACCACATCCTGGAACAAAAAAATTTAAAAGAGATACTTTGTTTTCTTTCTGCACTTCAAAACTTCACAAATGTATCAAGTATTTAAGAAGCAGGTAACCCAAGGTGGTGTTTCTCATGACAAGCTGCATATATCCACTATTTTGTCTTTTTGGCATGGTTATACAGTTATGATATCACTTCTGATCTATTTTTTTAACAGCCTACCCAATCTAATAACAGAGACGACAAACTACCATATTTTTCCATCTCTAAGACGCCCCCATGTAGAAGACAACATTTTGGGGACAACAACCAATCACCAGTCCACCCTCTGCACTATCCGTGTATAAGACGCTCACTGATTTTTGACATTATTTTTTTGGGGGGGGCTAGTCTTATACACAGAAAAATATGTATATTAACATTTGTTGTCTTGATCTCATGTACCTTTTAATAATGTTGACTGTCCAATGTTTATTCCTTTCTCCCAATTTAGAATTATATAACCATCAAATTGCTGATCATACTGGGTCTTCTACTGAAAATTGTTAATCTAAATATTTTTTCCATTACAATAGTTTTATAATGTATTATTTATTCATTGCAGAAAGTTTCAGTAGATATTTTGTAACTTTTAAATTGATAGATGAAGAATATTGCAGATAGTACGTTTCAGCATTTAATTCTCCACTCAATACAGGTACTATAGCAACATGGTAACAAGTATGATGGGAAAGAAAGGCAGTAAGGGAGCTTTATAACACAATGTATTTCCAGTGCAATGTGAAATTTATTATATAGCTATCAGAAACTATATAAACATTTTCTTTCCCTATGGCCTATTTAGTGAATGCAAATTATAACTTGGGGGTGGGGGGGGGAGAGAAGGAAGGCAGAAAAGAAAACAATACATATCACTTTAAGAGGAAAATTTATCAGGTCACAAGGAAATTTTAGTCAAACAAAATAATTAATAAGAGTTCATTTTATTTAAAAGCCAATTTACTGACTTCCAGTTCTCCAGTGTATTTGTTTTTAAATTGGCCGATGTAGTTTCAATGAAGTCTTCAAATACAGTCCTGCATGAAGCACTTTATGGTAATCCAATTGGACTATCATCACACATGAATTGCCAGGGCCAGAAAAGGAGCCAGTGGGCAAATCCAAGTCTGTACAGTAATAAGAATGCTATTGGTCACTGCTGTTACACCAGCCATGAACCTGAGTTTTTAGGGGCAGTGTAAACCCATCCCACACAGATTGCACACTAACTATACTAAGTAGGTTTACTCCTGCTGGCAACAGCACTCTAGGTGCTCTGTGCGTGTTTACGTGCACACGTGTGTGTCTTCACAGCTCTGCTACCTGCATTCCCCCGACTGATGCCAAAGATTGGATCTGGTACATCTAGCATGCAAGGCAATGCATTTTCCACTGAGCTGTGGCCCAGTCAATTTTTTAAAAAAAGTAATATTGAGGAGGTAAGATGTAGCAATGGATTTAGCTTGAATAATGGCTCCCTTTTAAAGCATTTAAGTTACAAAGAATCTTAAAATTCCTTATCTTGTAAACTGTCCCGTCTGTCATCTTCAGATGAAGGATGGCATTATAAACAAACAAACAAACTGTTCCAAATCCAGATCCTGTCAGGATTAAGTTTCAGTTTGTTCATCCAATCTTTAATTGCATTCCCAGGATTAAACAATGACAGCTAGAGTTGAGTACTAGCAGCATACTGATATCACTGTACCCAAGGTCTCCAAGCCATATCACCCAACAATTTCATGGTTTGTAGCACAGGAAATAAAAAGGAAAATTTGCACAACCCACAAGCCAGCAACCATGGGGTAGAACCCAGCACTACCTCTTGCTCCAATCACTTTAAGACCTCCCCTGGCTCCAACCTGGAAAAGTTATCATGATGGCGCTGTGGCGGGTGGCGCTGTGGGTAAAACCTCAGTGCCTAGGGCTTGCCGATCGCATGGTCGGCGGTTCGAATCCCCGCGGCGGGGTGAGCTCCCGTCTTTCGGTCCCAGCTCCTGCCCACCTAGCAGTTCGAAAGCACCCTTAAGTGCAAGTAGATAAATAGGTACTGCTTTCTAGCGGGAAGGTAAACGGCGTTTCCGTGTGCTGCACTGGTGCTGGCTCGCCAGAGCAGCTTCGTCACGCTGGCCACGTGACCCGGAAGTGTCTCCGGACAGCGCTGGCCCCCGGCCTCTTAAGTGAGATGGGCACACAACCCTAGAGTCTGTCAAGACTGGCCCGTACGGGCAGGGGTACCTTTACCTTTTTATATTTGAAGAAGAAAAAAGACACTGAGGAGATCTGTTAAGAGTCAACAGGGATGACTTTTCCCATCCATTTCTCCTATAAAACCAGATCTAGTTCAGTATCATGCAAGGAAACCCTGGCATTTGAGAGCAACTACACATTCCACTATCTAAAGGAAGAATTGACACTATTCTGAGATTATTAAAATCAGTTGGATCTACTGAGGACTACCTTTAGGAGCAGACAGGGTACAAGTGATAGACCACAGGGACTGTAGGGACCAGTCTCTCATCAAGGAGGCATATAGCAGCATCTCCATTATGCAGCATACTATCTTCCTATGACATATGTATTTAACCAGGGTGAGCATGGATACTTTTCAATTTGTACAGCCGAATGATGTGGACAGGATTATTGGCAATGTGAGAGCTAGATCCTTGGCCTTCCTGGCTCATTAAAAAGGCCAGTGGGGGAATGGCTGAGTGGGTACAGAGAAGGGGCAATGCCTCCTTTCAACAAGGAAGGGTTTCAGCATGCCCAAAGGAGGCAGTTATAAAACCTCTATGGAAAAAGCCCTCCCTGAATCCCACCATACTGGATAATTAGCTGCCTGTTTTCAATATTCCCTTTTAGGGCAAGATACTGGAGTGTGTTGTGGTATCTGAACTCTAGCAGTTCTGGGATTCAACAGATTATCTTGGAGCATTTCAAACTGGTTTCAGGCCTGGTTATGGGACAGAAACAGCTTTGGTCGCCTTCATAGATGACATGCAAGAAACTGTACAGGAGGAGTATGTCCCTGTTGGTTCTGCCGGACCTTTCAGTGGCTTTTACACCATCAATCATGGTATCCTTCTGAGTCACCTTTCTGAGATGGGACTTGGGGGCACTATTTTACAATGGCTCTGTTCCTTTCTGGAGGGGCAAACCTAGAAGGTGGTGTTGAGGGATTCCTGTTTGAACCTTGGCCATTAGCTAGTGATGTTCCTTAGGGTTCTGTCCTATTCCCATGGCTATGGAACTTAAGACAAATTCCTGAGCCGCAGCAAGTGAAGGACCCTAAGCATTAACACTAACATCCCCACTTGACCCCTCAACACGTTAAAAGGTAAAATGATCAGCTTCACAACACAATGGTGTGTGAAACCATACAAGGCACCCACTACCTATTGTTATTATCCCCCCCCTTGTTTAAATCAGGTGGTTCAACAACTTGCAGCCTTTGTGTTTGTCTGTATGAGTAGAACTTTTAGTGTATTAGTTGTTGCTGTATATTAACCACCAATATAGTTATATAAGGCAAGATTACACAACAGAACAGAAAAACACCAAAGCCAAACTATGAGGCTGCAAGTACCAGGAAATAAGTCCTTTTGAAAACAGTAGGATCAGGTTTTTAACAGCCCATTTCCCCATATTAGGAAAATGTATATAAACTAGAAACAGGTGCACAAATGATAAAACAACATGGTACCAAAGGAAAGAAAATGTATGCAACATCACCATCAGTGGTGGGGTAAATGCATACAATTGACTTTTCACAAATGACTTTTTATTCTTTTAGTGGGCACAAAATATCTATCTTTATCCATTCCACCTTAGAACATCTGACCGGGGCAGGATGGGCCACTTGTTATATCAAAGTATCCTAATGGAAGGCCAACCACTCTAGCTTTGTACCAGACACACAAAGCACGAAAGACCTATAACAACCTAAAAAAATCAAGCAGGCCTTTTGTGTCGTATCCTCACCGCAGAACCAAAACAACCCTTCAAACTGCGTGCACGCATTGGCAGGAACGAATTCACTAATCGACCCAGTTTGCGAGTAGGGTAACTTTCGTGCATAGTCCATCCTGATTTCACTTGTTTGAGACTCGCTTCCGACAAAAAAAAACACCTTTAAGGATTGGGCCGTTTGAGGGGATCGCGGTGTGTGCGGAGGGAGGCTGCTTCCCTCGGAGGGATCTGTGCGCCCCCTCCCTCCTCCTCCCCTCCAGTTAACGCTCAGTTGCTTGCTTTGTCGGGCCGCTTGCTACGGCAAAGAAGAAGCAGAGGATCCCGCCTCCGGGAGAAAGGAAGGAAGGAGTCTCGTCGCTGGAGGTGCCAACCAAGGCGCCCGCCTTCCTCAGAGGGGGAAAGCGAGGGCGGGACGCGCGCACGGGGCTCCTGACGCGAACACTCAACGCACGTTGGCGGGGCTTCCCGAGGCGCTTCAGAGAGGAGCCGCTCCTCCTCCGCCTCCTCTCTCTCCTCCTCGCTATTGTCTCAGCCCCACGCGGCTCGGCTGGGGCCCAACCCGGCCGCTCTGAGGCACCGCCGACGAGAGAGACGCGGCGGCTATAACCGACGCTTCGGTCGAAGGAGAAGCGCGCTGAGGGGGCGGCACTGGACCGGCGCAGCGACTCCTGCCCCCCCCCCCGCCGGAGCGGGTGAGCGAAGAGCCTCCCCATCGACCGGGCAAGAACCGGCGACGAGGAGCTTCACACCTTCGCCGCTGCCCCCTCCCCCCCCCATCATCCGGGCGCCGTTTCCCTTTTTGTTTTCTCACCGCTCCTTCGGCGTCTCCTCCGGGCGGCCCCTCCGCGGCGCCCGCCCCCGCGTTCTCCGCGACGGGAACCGAAGCGCCGGCAGGCAGGGAGCCGGCGTTCTCGTTCTCCTGCCCCGCCGCAGACATAATGGATACCCCCGTCCACACACGGGCGGCGGCGGCGGCCTGGCTCGAAAACTCCGCCGCTTAAATATATATATATGAGAGGACGGGTCTCGCCGCTAGTTTCGCTCCGCGCGACTCGGGCCGGTCCTTCTTCTTTTATTCTTCTAGTTCTTCTTCTTCTCCTCCCACGGCCCCCTCTCGCCGCTGCCGCCCCGGCTTTCTCAGCGCGATCCCACCAACCAGGAACAGAGCCGGCTCTCGAGTCTCGCGAGACAGCCTCTTCGAGGGCGGGGAGGCGGGGGAGAAGAAGGGGAGCCGAGACGCCGGCGCTCGCAGCACACGGAATTCTGATTGGATAAGAGAAGAGAGAGGAGGCGGCACTGGACGCTGCCTTCGCGATTATTTTGGCGTGAGGGCGGAGGAGGAGGGATTTGGGGGCCGCGCGCGCGTGTGTGAGCGCGATTCCGGAATCAACGAGGGAAGGGCGGGGACTGTGTTTGCGTCATTTGAGTAGCGGGGAGGGCCCGGGTTCGTTCTTTTCGCGCGTAGGGAGCGGGGCGGAAGGCGGGATGATCCTTGGACACGCACATTGGGACGTTTTCACACATGATGTTGAAGGCACGTGCCAGGATCTGTTTGGGTGCCTGCCATTTTTTTTTTTAGTAAAATATTTTTATTGCTTTATTTTATTTGCGAACCTCCGGCCTGCTGCTGTGGCGCATCTCTCAGATAGCTAAAATATAACAACTTGAGGATTAGAAACAACAATATAAAACAACGACCCGATGTGAAAGCGAAACGGGGACAGCAGATATATCAAGTGCGCCACATTAAAAACATTACCCGCAAAAGAAAGCGAAAGCCTGCCGGAATTTGTTCGTTTGTAAAGACAGGAAGCGTGGGGAGGCAACGCATTTCTTATTTTGATAAAGGGGTTTTTCAGCTTTTGTGGGATTCCAGCTCCCTTCAGCCTGGCCAATGGTCATGGGTAAGAGGAGCTGGAGTCCCAAAAATCTGGGGAGCTGCTGCCTTAAAACAACATAATCCTGATCATACATTTAACTAGAGTTTGCAACATGGGGTGCGATTTTGGGGTTTTATAAAATCACATCCATTTTTTTTGTTTTCTCTAGTCCTGCAAAAGTGGGGAAAGCAGGACAAGATGAAATTCCCTTTTCTAAATTTTTAAAGTTGCAGATCACCTGTCCTTATTTGGGTCAAGTAGGCACCTTCCCTCTTTAAAAACAATTACTAAACAAAACAAAAAAGTAACGCCACTCTCATCACCCACTTTAGAGAAAGATGTGAAGGACAGTGAGCCCCATGTCACCAGTTAAGCTTAAAGACCAGTGCTTTAAACAATTGAAGCTGATCATTTCATGTGTTTTCCAATGCATAGGAGAATAGAAAGCTGCCAAATTAGCAAGAGGGCCACTTCTGCTAATTTTAACACCCAAGAGTCTCTGTAGGGAAAGAGGTGGCTTTTGCCATTTGGGGCCTGAGCCATTTGGGGCACCTTGAATTGGACCTGGAAATGAACTGGGAACTAGTGTAACTGTTTTAAAACAGCTTATATGAAATCTAAATAGGATCCCAGCCAGTAATATGGCCACTGCATTTTGGATCAGTTGGAAGTTTCCAAGTCGTCTTCAAGGGTAGCCCCCTATAGAGCACATTGCTACTATCCAGTCTCGAAGTTACCAAAGGATGGAGTATAGCTGTTGGGGTCCGCTAACCAGGCCCAAGCTGCCTTGGTCTCCCATAATCACTCGTTTATTCAGCTGAGTGTGATGGGGAAGCCGCCCCAAATAGCCTTTGTTCATACTTTTTATAAGCATCCCCCCTTCCTTTCCCCCTTTCGAGGTTCCTTGCGCTGATCAAAACAGGACACATTGCCTGGAGACCTTGAAGGGGAGAGATGCCTGGCAGAGGGAGGTTTTCCTGAAAATCGCCTAGCAACGTTATCTGGTCTTCACATATTTGTGGCTCACCCTCCTAAATTCTAAAGCAGGCAGTTTTTTACAGAAGCAAAATGACATCAGTTAGGGGAACAAAAAAACAGGACAAGAACAGGCCTCTGTGGCTTTTCCTGAGTCCCCACATAGCAGCCAAGTAATTTCTGTCCAAAATAGGCTGCAGCTGGCAGACCAGTTGGAGCTGGGAAAAGGCACTCCTAGCCGTTCAGGCCACCTGAGCCTCCAGGGACAGTGTTGAATCCAAGAGCAGCCCAAGTAGTGGATTTGTACCCACCACCCAGGCATGAGAACTTGGGATACATAGGATCTCGTCTTTTCAGGATTCAGCTTCTGTTTACTGACCTTCATCCAACCCATCTCTGCTTCCAAGCACTGGTCTAACACCTCTAAATACTGTTTTCTCTATGGCAGCTGTAAAGCCTACATTGGCTAGAATGCACAGTCACAGAAATGCAGACACTTCAAGTGTCTCTTATTTTCCAGGGATGTCCTTGATTTAGAGAAGCCGCCACGGTTTCTGATTTGATCCTGGAATGTCCCTATATTCACTGGAGAAATGTTGGAGGGTATAGAGTTATCCAACACCCAAGCCACCTGAAGGCAATCCTGTACTGTATAAGGAAGGTTTTTAAAAAAATGTTTAATGTTTTATTATGTTTTTACATATGTTGGAAGCTGCCCAGAATGATGGGGCAACCCAATAAGATGTGTGGGATATAAATAGTAAAATTATCATTACAGAATGGGATGTCCCTATTTTCATTGGAGAAATGTTGGAGTGTATTGTTGGAGGGTTTGTTTTACCGCCAACAGATTTTAAATGTTTTCATTATGGTTTGTTTGTAATTGTACTTTGTATCCGTTGGAAAAGAAGATCCTCCTATACTCCCCAACATTTCTCTGATGAAAATAGGGACGTCCTAAGGTAAAGTGGGACATTCCAGGATCAAATCAGAAACCAGGACGGCTTCTCTAAATCAGGGCCTGTCCCTGGAAAATAGGGACACTTGGAGGGTCTGCCCTACATGCCCAACCCCCATTTTCCCTTATCACCATTTGCATTGCTGGGTGTGAATGGAGATAAATTACAATGTTAACTGCAGTGTGGAACCGTTGCTTTAATTCCACTTAGAGCTTAAAACAGAAGAGAGAATATTTAGTAATGCTGAGAAAACCTAGGCTGTGCACACACACCCTTTTACTCTGCATCCTGTGTGCTGCCACTGCTGGTTTGGAAAGTGGTGTTCACATAACTTTAGCGACCTGCCAGATCTATCCTGTCGTTTCTAATGAAATACTGTATTTTGACACATTTTCCCCAAACCAGCTTTGATAAAAAGAAAGACTAGTTTCCTTTTAAGCTGGTAAAATGTAGGCAGCCTTTGGCTTTGTATACACCATTCATTTAAATCACATTATTCTCTTCAAAAACCATTTCCTGGAAAGCATAGTTTACCTTTCACAGTACCACAACTCCCAGCACATTTAACAAACTACAGTTCCCAGGATTCTTTGGAGGAAGTCATGTGCTTTAAATGTATGGTGTGTTCACAGTCTTAGCGTAGAACCAACCTAAATTAGAATTGATGTCAGCAACTTTCAACAAAGTGTTGGTCACAGCAGGCCTCCAAGGATTCTTTCTTGGTTCAGATATGATAAGCCCCTAACCACTCAAAAAAGCTGTGCTGGCTGGCGCTGCGCTGACTCTGTGGTGGCAGAGCATTAAGATTCATTTGCTGCCATCCTCGCAACAGAGTAGCCTCTAAAATTAGCTGCATCCTGTGAGGCAGATGTTCACTATGCTGGAAAATAAAGTAAGTTTTAAAAGTAATTGCTTTTGCCAAACATATCAAACTGTACTTTCAAGTTAAATAATTTTAATTACATTCAGTAAGTCATGGGAAATCAAAGAATGACCTAGAGAGAAATTGAAGACTCTGAAGTAAAACTTAATAAGCAACTTGCAGACTGTGAATACCAGAGAAACAGAATCCAAGGTCAGCGAGCATCAGAATGTAATTGAGAAAGATGTCAAAACAACCCAGGTATCTCCAACTCCCTTGTTAGCTCTGCTGGGAATAATAGATAAATCAGATCAACATTTATCTCCTCAGGAGATGCTGACATTTTTGCTGGTAGTTGTTAGAAATAGCTAAATGTTGGCAGTCTGCAATAGAATCATAGTATGCTCAGATGTGGTCCACTGCCTTGGCTGAGAAATTAATATGCCCGATCAGAGTGACCAGAGGCAAGATGAGTCCTTTATCCTTCTACATTACTGCCCAGACCTATCAAAACATCTGGAGAGACCTGTTGGATTCGAGTCTCTAATAGACATTGTAAATGGGTTCTGTTACTCCTTTTTTCCAATAAATGACAGACTAGCTGCTATTGTTTATTGTATTTTAAATTATGTTTGTTACATGTGAAAAAGCAACAGAATAGGTACAATTGCTGTTGTTTTTTGTTGTTGAAGTCTTGCAAAGAGTGGTTTATTTGGGGAATTTGAGTTTGATATAATAGGCAGGGTGGGCTTGGCTACTGGATGGTTCCTTCCTTAACTTAGATTTTTATACTGCTGCAGTCAGGATGTGCTATTTTAACTTTTACTCTGGCTCAAAATAGTCTAATGGGCTGCTTAATCCTGATGACATCCCACCCCCTGCCAACCCACTTTACCCCTAAATCGTGCCTCCCACACTTCCTTCGGCCCTGCCAAACCATTAGTTTGTAGAAATCATCCAGCCATAATTGAGGCCCCCAACCTGTTCTGTGCTACCACTGGTTGAATACCTATGCCTTCAAATTTAGTTAGGGAAGGGATATTTGCACACCTGTTAACATTCTTTCAGGTTCAGAAATTTGCAAGATGCTTGGTTAATCAAGGGCCTTGCAAGTTTTTGTACCTAAAAGCATTGTTGTTGTTGTTTAGTCGTGTCTGACTCTTCGTGACCCCATGGACCAGAGCACACCAGGCACTCCTGTCTTCCACTGCCTCCCAGAGTTTGGTCAAACTCATGCTGGTAGCTTCGAGAACACTGTCCAACCATCTCATCCTCTGTCATCCCCTTCTCCTTGTGCCCTCCATCTTTCCCAACATCAGGGTCTTTTCCAGGGAGTCGAGTCTTCTCATGGGATGGCCAAAGTATTGGAGCCTCAGCTTCACAATCTGTCCTTCCAGTGAGCACTCAGGGCTGATTTCCTTACGAATGGAGAGGTCATACTAGCCAGTTAACCCTCAAGGCAGCATGAAGCCTAACTTTTGTGATGGGCTGAACCCTCTTGGAAGA